GAGAAAATGTTCTTAAAAAGCTCTGACAGCTCCGTTTGCAGATCCACCTTCTTCTGCTTCCCGGCGTGCTCCCGAACGCAGCGCACGGGGGAAAAGCAAGGTGCAACGTAGGGAGAGAGGCACGGGCTGCAAAGCACGGCTGCGTGAAGGTCCATCGCGCGTATCCTGGCCGGCATCCCCTTAAAATCCAGCCCGGGATGGTCAGAAATGAGCTTGCACTGCCAGCATCGTGAGGAGGCAGCTCTGAGCCCAAACCTGGAGGGGTTGCAGGAGGATGTCCCCGCTCCGTCGGTGCCAAAAGGGACTTGGCAGCTGCCTTGGGAGCGGGAAGGGCTGGGGGGGGTGGATGGATGAAGCACAGTGTGGTCCCTGCAGCTGGAGGGGTTGGTTGGAAGGGATCGTGCTACCCAGGGGGGGCTGAGGTGGTTTAGGTTCGTGCAGGGGAAAGAGGGGTTTGGTGCGAGGGAGGGTGGGAGAGGGGGCTGCCAGCGGAGGAGGGAGGCAATTGCTCAGTGTTGGGTGGGTGAACGAGCTTCTTCCCCCCCAGGTGACTTTCCTTTCTGTCCCTGCCATCTCTCAGCCCCGGGGACACGGGTGACAGGGGCTTTTCCCAGCCGGGGTGATGAGCTGTCTGATGGGAGGGTGCAGCGTCGTGCTTCGCTGTCCTGTGGGTCCCAGCACCCCACTGACCCAAAGGGACCCTGGGGAGGGGGAGGGCACTGCTGGGAGAGCTGCTTCTCCTGCAGCCAATGGGTTCTGCTGGGACCCTGTGCTCTGCTTGGCGAAACACTTCGGATTTGGGTTCGTTTTGAACTCCTTTTTGTCTGATGAGCCGGACATCGGTCCTTTGGGCTATGCTAGTCTTTGAGCTGAAAGAAATCTGGGTTGTTTTTTTTCTCTGGGGGTGGTTGCCTGTGTGCTGGCATCAGTCCCCTCGAAGGCAGCGGGGCTGTGGCAGTGCTGCCGTTGCGCTGCCCTGGGGTTGTCACTGCTTGACCCGTGCTGCTGTCCCTGCTCCTGTGCCATGCTGCCTTGCCCTGCGCCGGCCCTGGGTTCCCTTCCCAGAAGGCATCGCTTGCCACCTCCTGGGGCAGAAACACACTCACTGAGGACACGAGTGACCCTCTGACCCTCAGGGCAGCCCCTTCTTTGCCCCTTTGCTGCACAGTAGCCGCTGAGGTACCACCCGGGACGTGGACACACCAGAGCATCTTGGTCCACCCAGGGAGCAGAGCTGCCTGGGGCCCCCGTACCTGCTTTGTGGGGCCTTTGCAATCCGGGTGGGACACCAAACCTCGTGAATCTGCAGTCCAAAGCCCTACACCCATACCCCATTACAGTTTCTGTTGCGTCCAGCATCCCCTCTCCATTCCCAGTTTAAGCCGGTGTGTGCTTAACACTGGGATGCTCTACCCCGGAGATGGTCCCATTTCCAAAGGGGGTCAGGCAGACCCGTGAGCAGAGAGGAGGGAAGGCAAGAGGAGGATGCTTCTTCAGGGCTGCCTTGGAAAACCACCAGTGTGTTTGCCAGCTGCTGGCTCACACCGGCCCAGTTTTGCCCATCAGGCTGTGAGATGCCACATCCCAAACGCGGCATATGGCGCTTGGGCTCAGATTGTCTCTTTTCTGGGTTAAAGGATGAAAAACCCACTCGAACAGTGCAGGGAGCACGGCATGAGTTTGCTTATTCATGTGGTTGATGGAGAGCAGCCTGCTCCGTCTACCCAGCGTGTCCCTGTCCTGCCCCTCTCCACCGCTGATTGGCATCCTGGGGACATTGTAGGTGGTGGCCTGCGGTCTCCTTGCCCAAGGTCCATGGTGGCGGTTCCCCAGGGCCCTGTCCTCACTCTTGTCCTCCTCCTGTCTTTCAGATGTCCTGCGGTAACCCGTCACCCTACAGAAGGGTCTGCCCGCCTTAGCCAGCCCGTCCTCCCAGGCATCCTCCCAGCGATGGCCTCAACGCCCCAGTGAGGGACGAAAGGACGAGGAGCGAGTCCCCCCAACACCGCCACGTCCCCCGGGAGAGCCATGGAGGCCCCCCTGGACGTGCCCGTAGGGAACCTCATCGACTTTGATGCCGAAACACCCACCTGCGTCCCCTCGGAACCCTCTCCTCCCGCTGCCCCCAGCGGCAACGGGCACCTGGGGGACGATGGGGACGTGGCCGGGGAGGAGAGCGATGCCACCGAGTCGGCGGACAGCGAGAATGACATGGGTGACTCTCCCAGGCGCTGGTGCGGCTACCGCTTTTTTCCCCCCCACCCAGAGCAGCGAGGCGGCCCGGGACGAGGCGACGGCCGAGCGCCGGGAGTTCATGCGGCACTACGTGGAGAAGATCTTCACCGGGGGGTGAGCGAGCGGGGCCGGCGAGCGCTGCTGAGCCAGCTGCCAGGGGACATCCCGCGGGATGGGATCTGGCTGCTCTCCCACTCCGGGAGCATCGGGTTGTGTCCTTCCCCGTGCTTGGCTGACGCAGCTCGGCGCTCCCGGCCGTAACGCGGCGTTGGAGCTGAGGGGGGATGCAGGCTCTGACTTGTCCTCCTCTCTCGGGCATCTCCTGGCTCATCTCTCACCCCAAGCTTCCCTCCCTTCTTCTTCCTCCCCTTCCCCATGCCAAGGGGGTCTCCAGCTCCTCTCCCCCACTGGGCACCTCTGCTGATGCCTCGTGCCAATGCCAGCGGCTCGCACGTGCCCCGGGGCCCTGCGGCAGCCCTTGGCTCTCTCTCCCCCCGAGCCCAGCCCTGCACCCCCATCCCCAGCTCCCGTCGCTGTGGTCTCCGTCACGCTGCGGCTCGGCGTGTCAAGCAGGATTGAGCAAACTGAGCGTGATGAGCAGCAACAGGGGTTGGGGTTTTTTTTTTTTTTGCTCTGGGGCAGAGCGCCTGTCTCTGGAGCTCAGTTTCTGCTCAGGCTGTTCTTGGCTCTTCCTTTCTCCCTCCGCCTGTGGCTTTCCCCCCTGCCAGGGAGGAACAAAAGAGCAGCGTAAGCCGAGGGATGACAAAATGGATGCTCCCCTTCCCCTCTTCCTCGGCCTTCCTCCCAGCATCGCAGCACTGGGATGCTGCCGCTGAGAGGGATGACGTGGTGGAGCTGAGCCGTGCTGGCTGGAGGGGGGGGGATGCCGGCCACATCCTCAGCTTTAATGGTGTGGGGTTTGTTTTTTTTTTTCCCTTTCCCCGTTTCAGAGAGGATTTGGACCAAGAAGAGAAGGCCAGGTTTGGTGAGCTCTGCAGCAGCGAGAACGGGAAGGGCAGGGAGTGGTTCGCGAGATACGTGAGTGCCCAGGTAAGGGGAGAGATGGGCGAAGGAGAGGTGATCCTGCACGGGGGGCTTTGGAGCAGCCTGGGCAAGAGGCTCAGGCCAGGGGAATTTAGCAATACCCCAAAGTGATATTTTTGGAGGGCAGGAACTTGAGGAAAGGGAGGAGATTCAGTACAGGGGGATACAGAAGTGAATCAACGCACCCTGAGGCGGTTAAATACATGCTGGTTGTGATGTGGGAAAGACATAATTGGTTTTACTCCACACGAAAACCCACCAGCACTCGGAAACCTCCTATTCCCTAGAAAAAACAATCCAGAGAGGCACACCGCTGTCTGCCTGTGCTCTCTGCCCACTTCCCTGCCATGGGGGGTCCCGGGGTGGGGGCTGAGGTAGCCCTTGCTGCTTTGAGGTAGCCCTTGCTGCTTGCGGCAGGCAGCCGCCCCGCAGAGCCGTGCAAAACCCTGGGCTTTGTGCCTGCAGCGCTGCAACTCCAAGTGTGTCTCGGAGCAGACCTTCTACCGCCTGATGCAGTCGTTCGCCCTCGTGCTGTTCGAGTAAGTCGGGGCCCGGGGGGGGTGAGTTGGGGCTTCGTTGCAACCGCCAAAACCCCCTGAGATTAAAGCCGTGGCTCAAGGAGCCGTGAAGCTGCTTGGGGGTTGCCATGGCTGGGTGTCTTCACCGAATCGTCCCTCCGTGTCAGGTGTCACCAGATGGATGACTTCAGCCCTGCCAAGAACCTCATGACCATGTGTTTCACCTACTACTACGTGGGTAAGAAGCGCCTGCGCCCTCGGGCTTTGCTTGGGCTGGGGACTGGTGGTGCAGTGTGCCCCGTGCGTGGGAAGGGTGATGGAGGGGTACCCAAGCTTGGCTTGCTCTGTCTGACTCTGATACGGAGTGGAGGAGAGGCTCCATGGCTGAGAAGTTGTGCAAACTTGCCAAAGACCCTTGCTGAGGTGGTAGCTCATGCTGGTGCTGGTTTGTCATTGCTTCTAGCCCAGGATATTTCTATGGGGCAATCCCCAGATGTTCCCTCACCCTGGGGACGTGATTTGAACTCTCCAGCCGAAAAGCACCAGGGCTCATTGCTTGGTGCGTGGTGGTCACTCCTCCACAGGGGGCTGGATTTTCTCCCCAAAATGGCAGGGAGGATAAAGACCTACAGGAGCTGAGATGGGGTGGGGTCTGGGCCAATTCCAGCTGGCTCCTGGTGTCCATGGTGCATCTCGTAGCTGGGAGCAGGTCCTGCAGGAGCTGGCAGCACCCAAGACCACGGGGCCAACTGAGCTCCCGACCTGTTGCCTGCAGGCAAGACCCACGCGCTGCCCTCGGAGGCCAAGGAGAAGCCCAGGGGCAGCATCGACTCGTACCTGAAGTCAGCGAACAGCTGGCTGGCGGAGAAGAAGGACATCGCGGAGCGGCTGCTGAAGAACACGTCAGCCAAGACGGAGAACGTCAAGGGCTTCTTCGGGGGCCTGGAGACCAAGCTGAAGGGTCCTACCACCAAAAAGAGCGAGTGGGTACCACTCAGTTGGGTGGCCAGGGTGGGCTGAGGCAGGCACCCATAACGTGACCAAGCCAGAAACCTCCTGGGTGTAGGGCTGCCATGAGCCAGGGGTTATCATGGCCATGGGAAGATGGTCTCCAGCCTTGTCCCATGCTTCACACTTTGGTCATTGGGCATCTCACGGTCTGGGAGTCCTGTGTCCCTTGGGCACAGAGACATGTGGTTCCAGGAGACGGTGCTGCTGCTTTGTGGTCTTCTGCATCATCTCTGTACTGGGTCTGACTGGGATGGACATCAGAGTCTTAGCCACCTTTCTGGCCCTGGGGACAGTGGCATGGGAGCAGAGGGTTTTTCAAATGAAGGTGCTCTCCTCACCACGGGGGCCAGGGCTTTGCCACATGAGCTGTCAGGGGGACAGGCTTTTTTGGGAGCTGACACTGATTTCTGTGCCACAGCGAAGGTGAGGACAAACCAAAGGAGAAGCTGAAGAAGACGGGTGAGTGGAGCCAGCGTTGCTGAAGTAGGCATGGTCAAGGCACCCCTGGGGAAGGAGCGAGGGTTGGAGGTGGTACGAGATGGCTGGCACTGCTGGAGCTGTGGGGCAGGGAGAAGGACCAACGCCGTCTCCTCTGAGCTTCTAGAGAAGTGCTCCAAAGGAGCCTTCACAGCTCCTTGCCTTGGAGCAATCACAGCTCTTGTCCAGCAAGGACATCTTGTGGCATCTTGTCCTCGGTGGCACAGGTTGCAGAGGTTGGAGCATCCGCTGCCTCTGAGCTTTTGTGTCGCACCAGTCTCCCCCCTGGTAGCTGTGTGTGCTACCAAACCCGTGGTCCAGTCCCTCGAGTATCCTCCTGGGACATCCACGCCTTGGTCAGAGCTAACATCTGCCCGCAAAGGGCAGCCAAAGCTCCTTTTCTTGTTGCTGAGGATGTGTTGGCGATGAGTACTTGATTCGCAAAGCTCGCCATCATCACGGCCGCTTGGGCGCCAAGTTGGCAGGGGGGAGCGCAAAGCCTGTGCATGGGTGGGAAGGTGGGACTCTTCCAGACCTCAGCATCTAACTGTGTGTGTCCCCCCCCCAGTTTCCATGCAGAGCCCAGAGGAGGAGAAGAAAGGAGAGAGGATCTACCTGTACATGCACCTCAAGCAGCAGCCGATCTGGTAAAGCCTACCCAGGGCGAGAGGTTTGCTGCCTGGCGTTGTCCTCCCCAGGGAGGGGATTTGTCCTCCTTGCCCACACATTCCCCAGAGGCTCACGAGTCCTTTTCAGCTGCTGCTGCTGCCCTTAAAAAGAGGTGGCCGTGGCTTTTGCGCGTCCCTTGTGCTAGTGAGAGTGTGGTTGCAGCCACACAAGGAGCCGGTCCAAAAATGGACCCGATCTGCCAGATTTGTTTAGCCCCTCCTGGACTCATCTCCTGGCCCCTGGGAAGTGGGTGAGCTTGGTCCTGGGAGGCCTCGGGGATGGGCTGGGGGAGATGGGAAGCTGCCGTCCACCGACATCCCCCTCCCTGCAGGCACAACCTGCGGTTTTGGAACGCCGCCTTCTTCGACGCCGTGCACTGTGAGCGCAGGAAGCGGTCCCCCACCACCAGGTAGGACATGTCCCCATGGGAAAAGGAGTTGTCGTGTCCCCTCCACACACACCCCCCCCAGCATTCTCCCTTGCTCCTGACGGCCCTAAGCATTCCCGACCACGGGGAAACGCTCTGCCTTCCGCCTCGACTGCAAATCTGCTGGGGCCGCCGGGCTGCGGGGTGGGGATCTGCACCCTCCCAGGGATTCGGGAGCGTGGAGGTTTTCATGCTCGTTTTGGAAGAACAAAGCCCTAAAGGTGTGCCCAGAAAAAAAAAACAAACAAAACCAACCCAGCCAGGGTTGAGGCTGTGGGTGCTGAGTTTGCAAGCAGATCTGGGGAAAGATGCTTGGGGCAGCCCGTCGGGGAGGCGCAGCGGACGGGGAGGGGATGCCCTGGGTCCTGGCTGTCCCCAGGAGGGCTGTGGAAGCGCTGCCAGCGTAGCACAGGGACCAACCCTCGGCAGCCAGCAAGGACAAGAGCTGGAGATGGCAGCGTGGTCAACCCCGAGAGCTGGGAGGATCGGGATAAACCCTGCAAAGGGAAGGGGCTGCTCGTTTTGGAGGGTGGCTGCGTGCAGAGAGCGCCTGGGTGGCGGGGACCCCACGGGGTGCAAGGGTGGGCGAGATGCTCACCAGGCTCATGCCCATCTCTTGCTCCACCACGGCGCTGCCGCGGGGGCTCGAGCAATTCACTCCTCTGCCGACCGCAGTTTCACCCCTCCGAAGGCAACCCGTCCCGCCGCGTGTCCGCGCGGTGCTTTAGGGCTTTGAGCTCCCGGGGCGAGAGCTGTTGAGCTCGGAGCACTGGAACGGCTCCTTTTCTGAGCAGTGAGGGCACTTCTTGAAGCAGCCAGCCCTCCTCCATCGTCCCCAAAACCTGAGCTGAGGCTCAGCAGCCCTGGCTCCCACCGGGCGATGCTCTGCCAGGCTCAGCGCCCCGATCAATCTCCGCTTTCTCCTTTATTGCTTTTCTTTTTTGTTCCAAGCAAGCCACTGAAGGAACCTATTGAACAGTAATGTAACCATAACTGCATTTGCTTTGATTAAGCCCCAAATTAGCAGCAGCAAATGTCTCACAAGGACATACGCCACCGGCAGCTGCTCTCTGCTCCGAGTGCCTTTCCCAATTAATCTGATGGCTGAGTCTGCCTCTGCTGCAGAAACGAGCCTGACTAACAAATGAGCTTTGAGAGCTGCAGCCTGAGTACTCTGAGTATCTCAAGGGGTTTGGAAGGTGGTGGTGACCCCCCCCTTAGTCCTCTGGAGAGGATAACGGAAGCCACTGGGTGAACTGGGATGCTGCTTGCTGGACTGAGGATTAAAAGGCCCTGGCAGGAGGAGCTGGTTGGTGTGGGCTGGGTTTGAAAGGCCAAGGATGGAGCTGGGCTATGGCAGGTGTCCAGAGGGTCCATGGTGACGGAGTTGTGACCATCTCTGTGGGGTGGCCAGGGCAGCGCTGGGGTGGCCGGGCTGTATCCTCCTGAGGCTGCAGCGAGAGCTGGGGAGGTTTTTTCCCTTCTTGGTGGGGAGGGCAGGGGATGGGGGGAAGGAACCAGAACTAAACTCCTCTTTTTCTCTCTCTTTCCTTTCTCTAACAACCTTCTTCCGTCTCTTCTTCTCTCCTTTCCCCTCCATCCCTCTGTCTTGCATGATCTTTCACGCACCACTTTTGTCGGCCCCGTTTCTGCTGCCGCTCCAGAGGGAACACTGGGGAGGAAGAGGAGAAGAGGTGTGTCTGTCCCCGTACTTCGGTGCATTAGTGTCCAGAGGCCGACGCTCACTTCAGGTCCAAATCCTGCCCTGGGGAGGGGGATAACATATTTCAGGGGGGCTCTGAAAGGCCCTTTCTCCACCGAGGAGGAACAGCCGCCAGAGGCTTGACTTTACGTGCATCACCCTCTCAAAAGGGCCAGGAAGGTTCAGATTGGTTTCTCTTTAATTCAGCTTTTTAAAAAGAAACCTGACTGATTCCAAGCTGCGATATTTTGCTGTGGGAATCGGGTGCTCAGCTGCTGGGGAAGCCAAGGATTCATGCCAGGAACAGTTCCCTGGGCAGGTTTTGGGCATGAACTGAGTGTCTTCGTGAAGAAAGCATCCCCCTCACCCGTCCTTCGCGCTTGCTCCCAGCTTCTGCTGCCACATAGAGGTGCTGAGGATCCTTTGCCAGCTGGAAGAGCTGGTCCTTCTAATGTTTTTTTTTTAATGCACTCTTGTGCTGCCATCCCTAGATAAAAAGAAAAACGCAAACGGGGGCTGCACGTCACGATTGCGAGCCTCTCCTCCAGGCTGCAAAGCTCAAAGCCAGCCACGTCCACCCGCGCTCTGAGCTGGGATCAGGGCAGGGGGAGAGTCATGGCTCTCTTGCTGGAGCGTAGGAGATTCGATCTTGGAGCAAATCACTCCAAGCGACGGCGTTAGCAAGAGGATGAGGGTTCTTCGAAGCTTGGCGGTAAATCTTCCGCGTGGCTAAGGCATGCGCTGGTGAATGGAGAACCTAAATATGGCTCAGACAGAGCGTTGCTCAGGTCAGCTGCGCGGGTGAAACGCTGTTGCTGCCAGATGAGCGACGCCGAGCAGCCAAAAGCCTCGCCGATGCGGGTCCCACCTGCCGAAATACAGGCAAGGGGTTAGCACAGCCCGTGGGGTTACGCAGCCCTGCGCCTGCCGGCGTGAAGATCAAAGGGTTCGAGCGGAGCCACACGTGGGCTTTCCCCTTTCCCAGGCATGTTACTCCCAAAGAACAAGCCAGAAGAACAGCGAATTTTTCTTGGGCGCTTTGAGAATGTTTTTTCTCCCTCCTTCCTCCCTCAAAAACGTAAAAAGGGCAGGAAAAGAAGTAGTTACAAACGTGCTGCTTCTGCAAGAGGGCCAGTGAGCTCTGTGAAGTTTTGCTTCCAGATTTCGCCGCCCCTTAATTTGATTCTCCTCCTTTCTTTTCAGCCTCCAGATTTGGATGTGGTTTTTATTTGCTATCGTAAGCTTTGTCTGGGAGAAATTACACCTTTTTTTTTGTCTTTTTTTTTTTTTAAAAAAAAAAATCCCTTTAAACATCTCATATAAATTTGCAGAGCCCTATAAATACAAGCAGCTCACCCCTGGAGACCGAAGGCTCAGCTCAGCACCTTTTGCAACGCCCGGGCTGGGCTGACTCGAGCAGGGACAGGCTCCCCTCCCTGGGGTCAGCCTGACTGAGCGCTCATCCTTTCCCAGTTTCAGCGACACAAACGTGCTCTGGGGCTGAGCTCACCTCACCCAACTGACTGCGAGACACCCCTCTTCCCAGCCGCCGTTTCCACCCCACACAGCTCCTGCCCTCCTGCTTGGCGTGCCGGCCGGCTGCTGCAAGCTTGTGGTCTGCTCCTGGTGTTCTCCTCTTCCTTCTCCTCCCTAGAGCTGTTTTTCTTCTACCTATCCCTGTTTTTCCTTGCTTTTCCTCCTCTTTTCCTTGGCTGTAACCTCACCTGAGTTCTTGGAAGGGGGCTGGCTTCACCTTAGAGCTGTAGTTTCCCCGGCGTGCATGCACTGAGCTCCCCTGCCACCACCCGAGCGTTGCACCACCGCAGTGACATTTCGGTGACACAGGCTTTATTCCCAAGTGGGACACCCGGATGGGGACTCCTGCCACCGTCTCAAGTTGGTTGCGACCTCCTAGAGCTTAAATCCCCCCCTTCCTTTAAGGCAATGCTGCAGTTGTGTTTGCCGGGGAGCCGAAGCGGAGCTGGGGCGTCCCCAGGGCGACGCGGTGGTTTTGGCCCTGAGCGGGGCCGTGGGGAGGGGTACAGGAGCCCCCCTGCGCTGTCGGAGGGGGAGGTATGTTTGGGGAGCGGCTTGCTCGAGGCTCGGGGTGTTGGAGCCCCGCTGGAGATGGGGCAGAGGTGCCTGGTACCCTCCTGGTACCCATCCCAGGAAGGGGGGGGGGGCTTTGATGGGACCCTGCTGGGGTGGCCATCCCCAAGAGCTGCGACCCCCGCGTTTCCTCGCTCGCCCCCCTTGCCGAAGCGCTGGCACCAAAGGTGAGAGGCACTAGCGCCGTGCTGGAGAGGCCGATGTGATTCCCTCACTCTTCGTCAGGGCCTTCAGGAGAAAGCCAAGGTCGAAGAAGACTTTTCCCCTGGGGCGTCCCTTGCTTTGCCCCAGGGCGAGAGATCTGTGGATGGATGCTGGCAGCTGAGGGGCTCTCGGTGCCCCCCTGCCCTCGGGCAGCGTGGTCCTGGGATGGGGCTGCAGGCAGGGGGGGGTTCCCAGGGTGACGGCTTGTGCCTTGCAGGGAGAAGTGGTGCCACATGACGCAGGAGGAGCGTTTTTTTTTTCAACGAGAACATCACCTTCGGGCAGCTGGGGTGAGCAGGGCGCGGGGACCGTCCCTCCTGCAGCCGGGCTCTGCGCTGCCTCCTTGCCGGCTGTTTGGGGGGGTGGGGGACACTTTACAGATGTTCCCCCGCTGGGGACATCCCTTATGGTGCAGAGGATGCTTGATGCTTCTCCCTGGGACCTACTCCTGCCTCTTAGGTTGCCAATCCAGGGGCAGCAAGGACCTAGTGTGCTCTCCCACAGCCGAGCATCATCCCAGCGCCCCGCACAAGGGGCTGCGGGGAGGAAGAGGAGGGTGGGGGAGGAAAAGGCAGCCTGGCCCTTCCTTCACCAAGAGCATCTCTGTCCTTCCCCAGCACCTTCATTCACAACATGCTGGCGTTCGGCCTGAACAAGAAGCTCTGCAGCGACTTCCTGAAGAAGCAGGCGACCATCGGCAATTTGGACGAAGGTAGGAGCGAGCCCAGGGGGATTTGCGCCCCCTTCGCGGGGTCCCGGAGGGATGGAGCCCACCTGCCTGGCTGGGATGCTTCAGCACCCCTCCCAGCACCCTTTTCTCTCTCTTCTGCAGAGCAATACAAGCTGCTCAGTGACCACATCGAGCAGATGGCCACCGAATAGCTGCCTGGCCTGCATACGTATGCGGCAGAGAGAAGGCGGCCGGAGCGGGTGGGGAGGGGAGAGGAACCCACCTCCGGGGCTACCTGAAACTGAAGCTGGGCTACTTAAAAAAAAAACAAATCTCACACACACAAGCTGCAATAAAACCTGCATGATCGTCCACCGAACTTTAGAGCTGCACCAGGGCAGCCTGTAGAAATAGGAGCCAAACAGCTCCCCCGACTCCCTTGCCAGATCCTCCTGCATCTATTTTCAGAGTAGACAGTCCCGAAAGTGTATTTTGTCAGTTAAAAAAAACCAAAACCACAACAAAACAGAAAAAACAAACAAACCAAGATGAAAACAAAAAGAGAGGGACTGCTGCAGCCCCCAGGTGTGTTTCTGAGCTGGGTCGCTGTGCCTCCAGCCCCTCCATGAAATGCTGCCCGTGGTCTTCGGTGTTTCACAGCACGACGGCGGTGGGTGCAGAGCTGCCAAACACATTCGCTGCTCGGTGTTTTTCCAAGGCTACCATGGGCCGTGGTAAATCCAGAGGAATCCAAGGCTGTGAGTCTCCTGCTGCCTTTCCCTGCCGGCGTCCGCTGAGCGAGGCTGGAGCTGGACCAGGGATGCGGGAGGTGATGGCAGGGACCACGTCCAGCTGCTGGGGCCGCATCCAGCCACCGAGAGAAGCCACTGCCAGGGAAGAGCAGCCTCGGGTTTGACCCATCGCCCTCCATACCGAGGCACTGGGCGTTCGCAGCACGTGGGTTTGTCCTGGCCACGCAGGAACTGGCAGCTGAGGATGGCGATGGGATGAAGCAGCCGACGGGCGGCTCTGGGTCAGCCTGGCAAGAGGTTGTGTGGGGTATCCAGGGATGTCACCACCGCTCGGGGACACGGGCAGTGCGGGGGCTTGCTGGGAGCAGAGGTGGGGCTGGTGGCAAAGTGCTGCTGCCTTCCTCAGCATAAGCTGGAGGGAAATCTTTCCCTTGGGGAACCTTTCTGCGGGGTTTTGTGTCTCTGGGCAGAGAGAAAACACAGCTTGCTCTGTATGGTTAGCCTGGATCAGCA